GTAGTAGTAGAAGTAGTAGTAGCAACAGCAGCAGCAGGAGGAGGAGCAGGAGGAGGAGGAGGAGGAGGAGGAGGAGGAGGAGGAGGAGGAGTAGTAGTAGTAGTAGTAGTGGCAGGAGTAGTAGTAGCAGAGGTACTAGTCAGTAGCAGCAGCAGTAGCAGTAGCAGCAGTAGTATTAGCAGTAGAAGCAGGAGCAGTAGTAGTAGCAGCAGTAGTATAGTCGTCGTCTTCGTAGTGGCAGCAGCCAGCGTCGTCGTCGACGTCGTCGTAGTCCTCGTATTACTGGTAGTTCCTCTACAGAAAACGGTAGTACTCGTAGTTCTCGTAGTACTAGGCGCATTAGTAGTACTAGTGGTACTTGTAGTACTAGTACTAGTACTAGTAGTAGTAGTAGTAGTAGTAGTAGTAGTAGTAGTACTAGCAGTACTACTACTACTACTACTACTACTACTACTACTACTAGTACTAGTAGTTGTGGTAGTAGTACTAGTAGTACTAGTAGAAGTAGTAGTAGTAGTAGTAGTAGTAGTAGTGGTAGTAGTAGAACTTGGAGCAGTAGTAGTAGCAGTCGTAGTAGTAGTAGTAGTAGCAGCAGCAGCAGCAGCAGCAGTAGTAGTAGTAGTAGTAGTTGTAGTTGTAGATTGTAGAAGTAGGAGGAGCAGGAGTACGGCAATAAACCGATTCGCGCATTGGAACGGCGGGATACGCGCACTCTAACAGTGATTCGCGCCAACTGGGGTCCCGCCCTAAAACCAAAAGACAAAACGGAAGCCCATGAAGCCGCATAAACCGTTTGAACTGAGAACATCGGTGAAAACTTGGAAACATCAAACCCTCACCAGAAACAACGACAACCCCAGCCCCATGACCTTAAGTGAAATGGAAACAAGCTGCCAACTGTTTTGCGGATTGGCACGTTGAACAAGTGGGACCTACTGCTGCGTAATCTAACATACAAGCAAGTCTCAACCCCAAGATGCGAAAGCTTTGGAACATAAACCTCAAAGTCTAAACCCTATACTACAGTTCTACACAATGCATGTTATTACATGCTGAAAATCTAAACCCTAAAGCCTGCCTGACAACCTGCAACCCTCAAACCCTAAATCCGGCCATGGCCCTAACACTTCGCTTGCTTGGATCGGCAGGTGCTTGGATCGTGGGTGCTTGAAACGCGCTTGCTCGAAGCATGGATGCCTGAATGGGGTTTCGTGCTTGAACCGGCCCTCGATTGCAGCCACTGTAGTGGATGTGGTAAGCATAGCCGTCCAAACCAATGTTATAGTCGAGTTAAGAGCCAACAATAATCGTAATTGTCATCATGGCTCAAAATAGTAAGGCTATGTAAGGCTAGTTAGGGTGCCAAATGACAATAACATCTAGCAATGTGATGCAAAATCACCGAGTGAGAAGTACACTGCACGCAGCAAGCCAAGCCTTTGCGCTTTGGTCATGGTATCGTCCCAAGCACCTGGGCTGCAAGTTCACTGACAACGACAGCGGCAGCTAGCGAGCCAGCCTTGTGTGTCCATCAGGAGCACGGCGATCTTTCGGCCATCCTCAGGAATTCGGTAATGCATCATGTTTCCAAGACTCGAAAACTGGCAGATCCTGATCGCGGAAGACAAAGGGGGAGCTCCAAAGCCAGATACCTTGCGTGCACCTCAGAGGCGACGGGCCGAACCCAGTGTTTCCGGTATACGCTTGCCGATGTTTCGGCGCACCAGCACAAAATGCACTATGCTCGCACAATGTGGCACTTTGATCTGAGGATGGCACTTGTCTTTGCCGGGACGCCAGGCAAAGCCGGCGCAAGCATCATCCAACTTCGAACCCTGACCACCAAGCACTTGACTAGGGGGGAAAAGAAAGTCTCTCCGTGTTTGGGGACACCCATCGATCTCAATCTGCACAGAAATTTCAAGATTTCGGATATGCGATGGGTTCGAATCCATCAGATGATGGGCACGTGTCCAAGCCTCGTGGATGCGGGCAGGATCGCCTTCCAGCACCTGAGGAGAGAATCACAGGAAGCAAGTAGCACTGGTAGCAGACAGTAACTGGGGGTAGCACCCAATCCGGGGGTCTGCTCTTCTTCCTGTCATCCTTGCCGGAACAGTCACTGGCCACTGCGAAAGGTTACTGCGCACATCTGTGCGTCCTCTCCGAATCGCCAACCATCATCTGCGGGTGCAGAAACCGGCTCTCCTAAGCCAATGTCACTCAGAAAGTTGGAGGCTATGCAAACCATGCTAATTCGGCTGCTCTTGCGACCAGCAACCGACCGACAGAGTCTCCCACGAAGAGAAGGGGGGGGGAGAACTAGAAAGAGGGCCTCTCTTGGACTCTTTTCCTGCCTGGCAACAAGTCTGCCGAGAAACTCCAACAAAGGAGCTTTAGCCCCTAAGTGGCCTTGAGTGTCCAGGCGACTCGGATGCATTGGCAAATTTCCTCAAGCTTCGCGGAATAAGAACATGTTGGACAGACCCGAACACAATGCACCCGAACTATTTCCATGCAGGAGCAGTCACACCTCACTGTTCTGAAAGAGTCTTCTTATTTGCTTGCGCGACGAGTCCTCTCAAATGTAGTGCAACAGCCGGTTAGGTGTGGGGAAGTGGTGGCATCTTGTCCCATGTTTGAAGACAATATCCACCCTTCGCTCCATGGGTCTAGGACCTTAGGATGCACGGCACACGCATGCACCTAAATGAAATCTGAGACGACACGGGCAAGATCCCGCAGTCGAAGCGAATGGGCTCTTCAAAATTCAATCCGGCAGATCCAACATGTTCTTTCGGGATCTATGGGTAACAGCTTGGATTTGCCGGATATTACAGCTGGCCCAGGCAAGAGTTGAGCAGAATTGACAAAGATTCCAGAATGGAAGCGTTCTGGAAGCTCTACAACTCCGCAACGATCACAAAGTTGGGAAATTCAAACCGCTGCCAATGGAGGATCCTGTCGTGCCGGCATGTCAGTTGACAACGAGACGCTGAGAACACAAGGTGAAAGCTTCTGTCATGCTCTGTCCAGCTGCATCAAATAGTCGTCGTCGGCTGCCCGTCTGCGCAGCGTTCTTCTTCGGAGCCTGAGGAGCAAGCATCAAGTCAGCACACAAAGCATCGATGAGAAAATGCGGGGCCATTAGGCTTCGGGCAGGCCGCACACCCCAGCTACCGTCAAGAGACCCACAAGCAGGGGCGAGACCTCAGCATCTCGCGCTAAGACCTGGCGCCTTGATCACTCCAGCTGAGGCAAGCAGCTGACATGAGCCTGGAGCCAGCCTTCCAGGAGCTGTCAGCAGACAAGGATCCCACTTCCTTTTTTTTGCTTCACCACCGAGACAGCGACCGTCTCTGCCAAGGCAGCAGGAGCAGGCTGAGGCTGAGCAGCTTTTGCCTGCACGACCGAAGGACCAGGATCGCGAGGGCACGATGCGAGCGCGAAGGCTCGGATCATTTTCAGACCCAAACCGACTGAGCTCCACTGGCCTGGCTCCGCTCCTTCTCTTCCGCCTGCACGACCGAATTTCAAGACTCTTCACGCGGGGGCGGAGAGAGACAGAGACAGAGCGAGCGAGCGAGCGAGCGAGCGGTGTGGAGGGAGGGAGCGAGGGATTGAGGGAGGGAACAAGGGAAGGAAGGCATCACGTGCCAAAGGATCTGCACCTGCTTTCGTCCTCTCCGCCCTGTCTGAAGGGCTTGACATGCAAACGCCGAGTTAAGGAGACGTCAGCCGGGCAGCAACAGCAGGAAGGTGGGGAGCAACAAGTACGAAGAGAAGTCATGGCAAGCTTGGAGGAACCCGACGGCTCAGTAGGAATCTGAAGACGCAAAAGCGCAGCAGATGGAAATCGTCCACATCGATCCACGACAAGTGCACTACGTTCAGGAGTCCCGCGCTCGCCCCCCCCGGCCCCGCCCCCCCCCCCCACAGACAGCGACGGCGCGGAGACAGCGGCTGAAGGGTCGAGCTGGCCTTGTTTTTGCTTAGGGCACAGGGCACACTTTTTCCATACCAGACGGCTGAAGCCTCGAGGTCAAGACCCAGAACCTCCAACTCTCCGCCAGGAGGTTCAGTTTTTGGGGGCTGGGTGTCATTGAAGAGTGAGGGTGTTGGGGTTTAGGGTTCGCTGAGGGCACGCGGTTTCATTAGGGTTGAAGGGTTAAACTGTTCTGTGTTTATTCGCGTTTAAGGGCTCATTGTTCGTTAGGGTTTCAAAGAGTTCAGGGTTTATCAGGATTTTGGCTTTTCAGTTGCCTTGCTTTGTTTATTTTGTTCATCCATGGAATATGTTCGGATGTGGTCTCCGGGAAGCAGATCGGAGTTGTAACACACTTTTGCAAGAACCAAAGAATAAGAAACGCTGCCCCTAACTGAATGCGAGGGTCAAGATGTTCAGGATTTAGGGTTTATTCGCGCTAGGGTGTACGGGTTTAGGGATTAGGTCATGGGTTTAGTTAGGGTTTAGGGGTTTAGGGGTTTGACGGCCGTTTTCAAGCTCACGTGCCGTCCTCGGGTCTTACAACTGGTTGCCTCGCCCAAGCCCCCCTCCTCCTGCTGAAACGGCACGAAAAAGCGCAAAAAAGCACGACTCAGCAAAAAAACAATATGACTAAGCCAAAAGAAACCAGAACGCTCACGGATGCTTTGCTATGGAATCGCGCTCTGCCGGCCTGAAGCTCTGTCCGAAGGTGCTCCTGCGACGGGGCGCAAGTCTGCCCGATGCTCGGCGGCCCCCCCCCCCCGGAACGCGGCTTGGCCCGGCCTTCTCTTCTCGACGCTGCTCACGTTCCTTCTTCAGCTCGGTGCTGAGGCGCTCCTGGCAAAATGTCAGCCAATCCATGAGACCAGAAAAGGCATGAATGTGGTCGAACAGGCATATGCAGACATGCATGTTCGCGGTACTAGCGAGCTTTTGGCTTCCTTCTCCGCTTGAAGCTCCGCATGAAGGGCCTGCTGCTCCTGCGAGAAGAGGCTGTCTACCATCTACTCATCTGTGCCATTTATGCCTTTCTGGGACACTGGGGCGAAGTCCGGGACAAGGACACTAGGAGACGGCGTGCTTGTCCTTTTGTCGCTCCGAATAACTCGCCTCTGACTTGGAGCTTCCGAGCTGGGCTCAGGTCAGAGTCTGGGAGTCTGGTAGAGTTGCAGAGTGCAACGTCTTGAAATCGCCACTCGCAGTCTCTTCAAGACTGCACCGTGCCGACGAACTGCCTCCAATGTATTGCTCAAAAGTCACTGGCCTCCTTGCATGGCTTCGAGGAAAGCAACCGGCTAGATGCACTCCGAGCTATTGCACGGCTTGGTGACCGCACAACTGGCCACCAACGGGGCCAGCAATAAGTCGCAGTCACGCTAGACAGTTGCATTGCAATTCCAGCGTGACTGGAAAACGAGTGAGACTGCAGAGGCCGACACCGACGTGAGGTCTCAGGTGGCCTGGGAGCCAAATCCGCTAGGCCTGTCGAAGCTCCACGATACCTTCCGTGTTTAGATCCTGAGCATCGTCAGGTCGCAACGCCACTGCAACCTAAAAAAATATGGAACTGAGGACCAGGCATTGTTTTTTATCCTCAATTGCTGGACTGTGTCGAGAAGTTGCCTGCCTCCTCGCCACTCTTTGCCAGCCTGCATGGCGACAGGCAATGAGTGAGCAAGCTACAGATCTCGGCTACCGGGACAGCTGAGTGTCTCACCTTTTTGATAGCCTGCACGATGGGCGAGACATTCAGCTGGTACTGGTAGTCGCCACCTTCACAAGACTGTGCGACAACACAAGGCTTACTATTTTAAAGCCAAGTGCAGATGACCTACCTGAGGCTGCAGGCTTCTGCATAGCTGATGGTCTAGACTTGACGACAGTAGCTTCGAACAGTGTTTTGCAGCCTCGTTCCGCTCGTGGGCTCTGCTCTGGAATGGAGACTGTTTCGTTCCCTCACTCACCCAGATGAAGGCTCAAGAGTGCATTGTAAAGGTGTGCATGGAAGATAAGAGCATCGACGGAGGCAAGGAAGCGGAAGCGCTGGCAGGAGTTGCTCAGAATCTCTGCTGGATCGGCACAAGCGAGTTGCTGCCCGAAGGGCCACTCCGTGCATGGAGAAAGCTTGGACTACAAATCAAAACGGGCCCGGAAGCTGCGCAGAATTGCAACTTCGATTGTGCGAAGGCAGTTCGGCACGCGAAGTAAACCTTCCCAACTTCACTCGTAGGATTCCCGAGATTACGGGAATTTGTTTCTGTATAGCATGCAGAGTCGCAGCTCTGAATGCGCTATTGAGCAGGACTCGGGCGATCGCTGCAAGAGAGCGAGAGAGTCCCAGCCCCTAGTCCTAGAATCTGGCTTTCCACCGCAAGGCAATGAAGAAGCCCGAATGGCTGCTTGCAGATGCGGCAACACGACTGGGGCAACCACTCTTCGCCAGAATCAAAGTTCTCCTGGCCGTCCTGCAGGACTTGTGCGTGAACACGATTTTTAAATTGAGCACCAGTTAGTTACCTTGCCAGGGACGAAGTAACACTGCTCCGCCTGTAGACGAGGTCAATGGCATGCAAGGCAGAAGCCATGTTCTCGCCGGACCTCGCCAAGAAAGGGCAGCTTCGATGGGGTGCTTCGAGGCGTCCAGGCATGAGCTGCCGCAACTGATCCCGTACCACCAAGGCCGTTGCGTGTCAGCCATGTCGTCGCCCAGTCCCATCCTGTCACTTCGTGCTCACGAGACAGCGAAACAGCAATTCGAGGAATGCAATGTGACACGTTGCACAGGGCAGCGTCTACACCGAAGTCCTGAGCATATCGGGACCATAGTATAGCCTCAGTCAAAGGCAAAGATTGTCCAGATTTCGTCAGCTCCCAGTCACGAGCCAAGTGCATGATCTGTGGTCCGACAGGGCTTCCTGCAAGCTCCTGGCCACAAGCGGCAGTGTCACTCAAATGGATACAAAGGGCTCAGAGACCCTCCTGCACCAAGGGATGGAATTCATCCAAGAGCAACTCAGAGACCTGGCACACGACTCAACACAAGCCGCCAGAAGCTGCCAGAAGCCACCGAAGTCCCCGCCTTCTCCGGGTTCTTGTACGTGTTTCGGGTCAAAGCCAGAACACGAAGAACCGCAAGTCCAGTTTCATGGCAAAACACCTGCGGAGGATCGAGCAATGTAGCTGTCACTAAACAAAACCGGGAGACATCAGTGAGTGTGGTTTCGAGGCACCTTGCTTTCGCACATTGTGGCGAATTTTGCCTGCCAATGGCTCTCTGACTCTCTGAAAGTGTTACACGAATCCAGACCTGTGTTATGTTGTGCACAGTGCACAGCATGCACAGCTAACCCTCCTGCCTCAAAGTCGGGATACGCCTTCTTGAAATTTGTGTACAAGAAATTAAAATAAAGAGTCCTCGGCGCTTCGCTTGCATCGGATCTTCAACCTGCCCTTTCAACGCTGAGCTTTGCTGCTCTTCTCACTTGCTGCGAGCTTCCGATCATCAATCTTGGGATTGTCCACAAGTTTGGCGATGAGATCGTCCATTGCCTTGCACGTTCTGCTCGTGTCTTCTGCAGGCTGAATACAAACGTTTCCTCAGCGCGGCACGGCGGTGAAGCCCATGTAAACGGGCTGTATGGCTATGGGAAAGATGAACTTCTCATTGCAGGCTGCGCCTGACCCCGGCAACTCTCACACTTCCAACTCATTGCCACAGCTCTGCTGGAGCCTGCAATATCAAAAATGGAATGATAGAAATAGTAGTGCAAGGTGCCTGCCATCAGGCCACATGCCAGACAGTAACTCACTTGAGCTGCTGTTATAGCACACAAAGCAGATTGAGTAGAGCGCCATTCATCAAGTGCTTCCGGTCCAGGTCCAGCAAGCCCTTAAAGTTTATGCAAGCTATTTCTCCTGAGTGGCACCAGGCACCAAAGGGCACTACCGATGAAGTGTTTTTGGCTGTGCAGGGGGTCCTTGGCCTAGCTGCGGCAGCTGAAAATTGGTGGCGAAACCTGCCAGAATTCAGGAAAAGACAATAATGGCTGTTCCTCGTGTGCGAGATTCCGGCAGAAAACATGATTCCCTGCCTGCCAATATGGACTCCTGCCGGGATGGCGTGAGTTTCGCAACCTTGCCGAACAAGACAGTGCTCTGATTGTCAGGCGGGAGCAACCTCTCAGCAATGCTTTCCAACCGAAAAAGCCAAGAAACAGTCGGCAGCAGCTTCCTGCCGGAAGTAAGAAACCAATGTGGCATGCCAAAACTTACTTGCAATGTGGTTTGACGAGCACAGCCGCACCGAAACGCCCAAGCCTTCGACTTCGACTCTGAACCCCAAGATTCGATCTGCTAAACCTCCTCAACCCTAAAGCCTCAACGCGATCTGAGACCTTGAAACTTGCTGTTTCAACATCGGTGCTTCGTGATTCACGGCGCGCCTGAACCGCAGGTTCTGCAATCACAGTTGTGCTTGGATCGTCTTTGCTTTTTGCGGCCGCTTCTTGAATCGATGTGCCCGAACCGGACTTCCGTGCAAGATGATGCAGACATCTCATACGACAGCTGCGTGTCCGACATGATTCGGTGAATGAACTAGCAGGCCACGACTTTGGGCGGGCTGTCCTCTTCAGCTCTGGATCTCCAAGTGCACACGCAAGTGACCGATCATGGTCGTCTGAGCCTCAGCTTACGGAATCTGCATGCCCCCATTGCGTGCAAAGCCATATGCGCAGAGTTCGGGACGCATGTCGAACGGAAGGGAATCGTTGACCACCTGCACATGGTGGCCCGTGACCGCTAGCAGCAGCGTTTAGCACCAGCCTTCCGAAAGCCGTCGTTCTTGCCGACGTCGTGAACGACGAGGAAGACCTCATGCCACTGCGGTGCTGGTACCCTGAAGACTCGTCTCGCGCTAGCCCGATCGCAAGCACATCACATCTCGTCTGAGCCTCCAACCAACATACCCCACCAGTCATCTTCACATGTCATGTGAGCTGCAAACTTTCGGCAGAACTCTTTGTAGTCATCCTTCTTGTTTCCCATGTTAATGAATTTTCCTGGAACCTGGCACAAGCAGAGTCGAAGGAAGCCGCGAACGCTTCACGAAACAAGGCTGCCAACAGTCGCATGATATTTCCGACAATCACCCGTCCTTGTCCATACTCATAGGTCCGCGCTCGCCGGCGGACACACATTCGAGGCCAAAGTCTTCCTCCGGAAAATCTCAAGTTAGCCATCACACCGTGCTTGAGGCCTCTGGAAGCCCTGGAAGCCTCCCCCGGCGGTCCTCCATAAAGGAGGAATAACATGCCAGCAAGGCAATGATGGCCCCGACTGTTCCTTGAGACTCGATGGATTGCACTGGGTATTACGGATACCGATTCCAGCGTAAATTAGCTTCCGTCGTGCACGCCATCCAAGCCAGAGAGCGATAGTACTCTGTCGGGCTGCCCGAAATCTCCTGCAGCAAGACACTAAAGGACACACATCTCGCTCTTTACGGAGGATGGCTGGCTCAGCACAGCTCCTCCACTCCAGGACTTGTCTGAATTCTGCCTTGCTTGTAGATGCCCAGTTCCGGAAAGGTGTCATCAAGCTCTTTCAAGAAGTCCTCAAAGGAACATCTCGGCTAAAGTCCACTTCCGCTACTCATGCGACCCTTGCAGTGGCACCATTGGCAAGAATGCCTAGGACCTAGGGCCTGGGAGAAAGCGGCTCGCCTTGTTCTGGACTGCATCTGGAGCTGCTGCGACACCACCGCCGGCTTTTAGGAGATCCACCAACGGCTTGATCTGGCCCACGGCACTGCTTTTGTATGGATATATTGGCGAAAGCGGCGAAGCACGGCCCCTGCCTTCCGTCCTGAATCCTCGATGGGAACATCCCGGCAACCTCAGGGCTGGTGACAGGATTTCATCCGATCCTCTCGGAAAAGATTGCGAGAGCTCTTGCAACGAAACGAGGCTTTCGGCAGAGAGAGAGGCTGCGAGCTCTTCCTGCATTATCTACAGGGCTTGTTGTCCGGTGTCATTGCTTCTGTAAGAGCACATCTCATTCCTTGTATGTTCCGGCTCGCGACCTGTTTCCACGAGCATGGGCTCCGACTTTCAAGGTCGGAGTGCCGACACAATGCGACTCCCCGGAACGGGCAATCGCTCCTTGAGCTGCTGGCTTCCGCCAATACCGCCAATACCAGAACAGCAACTTCAAAAACTTCACATCCATCATCAACCTCCCCTCTGACGGTCGGTCGCGAGGATTCGTCAAGTGTCCAAGCACGACACAAGTTGCGTGTGCGTCCGCTCGCCCGGGGCCGGAATGTTATGGCACGTTGACCAAGGGTATCGTCGCAGCAAGCATGTCTTGCTGTGCCAGGATCTCTTCAGATGCGAAACGCATTGAAAAGACTTCGTCTCCGAAGGACCGGCTGTCCGACAGAGCATAAAACATCTTGCCGGCAAACGTGACAAATACAAATACAGGTGCCTTTGCTCTCTCAGGAAAGCACTGATGCATGCTTGGTTCCCCATCACGCTTGGGAGCCGCCTGGTCACACTCATGCAGCCCTTGCTAACGGCACCATGGAACGGCCGGGACGGCCTACTTCAAGAAGGTCTGCACACCTCGCAGCTTGCGCAGCTTGCACATGCTTGCAGACTTCACACTATCAACGCAATCACCAGTTCGCCTGCGGAGTAGCAGGACCTTCTTGTCGCAGCGCGGTATCGGAAGGCGTGACAGAGTACATGCTTGTCAAATGGCTGCATGAGAACGGCAGATCCATCGGTCCTAGCTATATACGCCTTCAAGGACAAGCTGCATCTCGCAAGAGCTGTGAGAAAGACATCTGCCCTGGCTCCTTCTGCAACTTCTCGTTCTCCCGCTGCTCTTGCGTCTGCTCGGGCACAGGCCTTGGCACAGTCTCAAGGTGTCGCACTGCTGAGCATCGAGGGAGGCATGCTGAGCCCAGCACTCTGCAGATGCACCAGAGGTGGCAAAAAAAGTTGGCCTAAGCAGGGAAGGGCTGCGCATCGAGGAAATGATGGAAATGTCCAGTTTATGGTCAGCACGCACTGGGCGCAGATGCAGACGGCTGGTCCTGCAAGTGAGTTGTGCAGACTCTGGAAACCTGAAAGACTACATCAGACGGGCTCTCACCTGCACGTACTTCTGGTAATTGCCTGCATACTGGGCGATGTACTTCCTTGGCACACTGCAAGGATGCTTCACCTGATGTCCCCACCTTTGCACGTGATATCAGCAAAAGCAAGGGAAATTGGTGCGCATGTCCGAAGCCCCTGCTGGAGCCAAGCAGAACCCAAGGCAAAATTCCGAAAGAAACGAATAAGCACAAAAACCAAGACTCTGGAAGTCTTTGGCATCTGCAGCTGAATCACCGCGTTCTTGCCTCAACAGGTCATCTCAAGCATTGTTGCTCCCCATGGATCATGGCTCCCAAATTAAATCGCCTTCGAACCGAATTCTTCACGTCTGTCTAATGGAAATACGAGACCTTAACCTAAACCCTAAGCACTACACCCCCAAACCTAAACCCTAAACTCTAAACCCGAAGCCCTAAATCGTCAGGCTTGGCGCTCCGATAGTACCCTGCCCGACAGCGCAAAGGAATCTAATCTTGCGCATTTTGTAAGCACAGTATCCCAAACCTTGCATCCTGAACCTGAAGCCCGAAGCCCCACACTAAACCCTAAGCGAGCTACTGAGTGGTTGAAGCGGAGACTGGCATCACTTTGTGTTGCACGAGCCCTGACGAACCCCCAAATCACCCGGACCACTCGTATCAGCTGGCCGTGGAACACTGCGAACCCTTCCAAAAGCCTTCGCCTTGCTTACACAGAGTATCACACACAGGACTTGCTGCAAATTTAGCCATGTCCGGCCGCGACTGGTGCCAAGACACACATATTTGGAGTAGTCATCGGCATAGCCTTTCATGTAGTGCTGGAAGTCAGCAGCCTCCTGCTTGCCTTTGTTCTGCTCATAGTTCCGGTAGTCACTGAAGTACTTGCCAAAGTCGCCAGCTGCTTGGCTTCCCCTGGCGTGCATGTACTTGTCATAGGAATCAGTGCCAGCTGCGAACACGACCGGCGATGCTGTGTCATTGACGCTGTTGGAAGCTGACTTCTGGTGGTCCGCTGAACTGCCATGGCCCCTGTGGTCGGTGTGTCCGTCCCTGTCTGGGGCTTGCATATATTTATCGTAGTCGGAAGCAAACTTAGACGTGTACCTCGAAAAATCTGGAGTGTGCGAAGTCTGACCACGCACGTATTGCTGATAGTCCATATATTTCTTGAAATCGCCAGTGCCGACTGAGCTCTGCCCCATGTAACCCTTTGCATACTGATCCATGAACTTGGAGTAGTCTTGCGAACCTTGGCCTTGGCCCTGGTAGTCCGATGCATAGTGGGACATGTAGTCTCCTCCCGAGCCGCCTTGCCCTTGCATGTACTTCTGGTAATCCGCATAGTCTTTCATGTACTTGGAAAAGCCCGCTTGCGAGCCTTGTGCTTTGGAGCCCTGCCCTGCGTACTTGGAATAATCACCTGCATACTCGGCCATGAACTTGGAAAAATCACCTTCTGATCTCAAAAATTTTCTGGAACATGACACAAGCAAGAACCCTTCACTGAAAGATCCTGAATGACCGGCCGGAGGAACGGCCCAAGGCTGGGGAATCTATTCAATCTTACGGGCTTTTGCGCTCGTTCACGTTGAACCGACTTGTAGCGTTCTGTTCTTTACAGTTGGAAGATCTCTCGCCTCCTTGGCCACTGTACTTCTGGAAATCCATGTACTTCTGGTACCCGCCACCACCTTGCGACCCATGTTGCTGCATGTACTGCTGGTAGTTCTTGGAGAAATCATCGCCAGAGGACCCGTGCCCTTGCATATACTTCTGGAAGTCTGCGTATCCGTCCATGTACTGGGAGAAGGATGCACCACCTGTGTCAAACCCCTGGTTCGAAATGGTATGCGGTGACTGTCTTGGGGACTGAACGTCTCCGGTTTGTCGCAGCACATCAAATTGATTCCACACTTCCTACAGTTTCCGATGCTACAATGACGAAGGTGTATTGTAGCTACGATGTATGCGTTGACACAAGCAGCTTCCCCGCTCGCCCGAATCCCGTGGTTGGTTTCGGATCAACGTTCATGGACGATGACAGCTGGTGAGCTGAGAAGCTCCTCCTGTCAGATTGCTCGGAAGGCTCCATAGTGGTAGCGTGCACAACCAGATGATGCCAGCTTGTCGAACATAATGAACGGAGCAATCATGCGACAATAGCATGTGTGGAGGATTGGGCGAACATGTTCCTACAAGTGCCCATGGCAAGGATCTGATGCCATCCTTCATTTCTGGGCTTTCGTTGCTGATGCTTACTGTGATATCATCCCCCGCCTTGCGGAGCCTGTCCCCCGTGCATATACTTCGCGAAATCCATGAACTTTGAAAAGTCTCCAGCTTGAGTGCCCTGAGCATGCTTCTCTTGGTAGTCTGCGGCATACTGATTCATGTACTGCGAGAAATCGCTGGGTCTGCTAGCTCTGCCCTGGCCCTGAAGATATCTCTGAAAGTCCATGTAGGACGGTTTCTGACCACTCCCTCCATGGGAGCCTGCCAAGGCCACTGGGGTCGCAGGCTTCTGAGCTGCCTCTGCCTTGCCTGCGGCCTTGTCGCCGGACATGAACTTGCCTGCATACTGGCCAAGGAACGACTCATATCCATCCCCGGCATGCCCTCCATTCATGTACTTGGTGTAGTCCCCATATTGCTGCATGTACTTCTGATAATATTTTGTAAATCCAGATCCACCTGCAGATCCACCGCTGCCGATGTACTTCTCATAATCACCGGCATACTGGTCCAAATACCTTTGATAATCTCCGCCGGCCTGAAGCAGTACGTCACCCTTCTGGCAAAGCAACTACGCAAGAGTTGCTTCTGGCTTGAAGGTCATGCCTAATGTCAAGCACCTGTTCAAACAATGCAAGTGCTATGTTCGAGTAGCGGATCACAAGCGTTGCGGCCCGAACCCGCTGAGTAGCATGCGCCTGCTGCTGAGCTAGTGCAGCTGGAAGAAGCGAAATCAAAGCAGCAAAAGCTGCCATGACCTTCAGTGTGCGGAAATCCGAACAAACCGAACGATTTCGATGACCTACTGCGTGGTAAAACAATCTGGCTGTATATAATCGGCAAAGCCACTCGCTGCTAAGTGCACCAGGCCAGCGGCGTGCAATCGCCCACGTGGGCGTGAATATCTACACTGTGCAGCCGACAACTGGAGCCATCAGCCAGGCAGGATGTGACGATTCACAATCAAAAATCAAGGACACATCTGGGGAGATATTTGGGCCTCATGCGCTGAGCAGGCAACGTGGCCACCTCCGGATGGAAACACCACGACTGTGACCAGCAGTGTGCATCCACTCACATGCTGTCGTGTCCCATCCCTCTCCACTCTTCGGCCCTCCGTAAACCAAGGCTACCACCTGAGAAGGGTCTTGAGTCAAAGCGTCAAGCTGCGCCTTCTCCAATGCCCGTTCCTGTGCGAGCAAACTCTTTCTGTGCCAGCATTGGAACTTTTGAACTGAACGACATGATGCAATCCATGAACAAGGCCTTTGCAAGTTCCTTTGCCGCTTGTTTCTTCAGATACCGGGCCAACAAATCAAGCAAAAAGCTCTTGCCCGTACGATACCTGCACGGTGCAGGACACAACTTGCACCACTCAGCTTGAATATCGTGCTGTCGATGTACGTCCCCATAACGGCAATGATCGAAACGTAGCTGGCTCCGGATTCATTGAGCTTCGTGCCTCACATCGAAACCAGTGAGGCTTTCAACCGCACACATGTATTATTCACAACCGAAAAACTTATCTTGTCCAGATTTTCTTTGAGAATCTCCACCTCCGAAGACTCCTCGGTATCTCGCATAGCTCAATACGGTGTCGTCAACAATATCACCTAAGCTCGGCACCGCCTTCAATTCCAGAATCTTGACGGGGGCATTATCTGCTCCTGCTCGAAGTTAACATAATGCAAGACCTTCCCTCCATAAATCAAAACACCACGCGCCACGCAAATTGCAGTCCTTTCATGTTTCACTTCCCCAAATCCACACATCCATTTGGGTTATGCCACTGTTAGGGCGGAAGCATCCAGCTTGAACCTGACCAAACAAATATTTCTCTCTACATATAAAATTATTGATCAAACACAGCGAACCATGAGACACGAATCCCAACAATCCAACAAACCACAAACTCCACTCGAATATAATAAATCGCTATGTGTGTGTGTAACTGTGTGTGTAGTTTATGTCAGAGGCACTTGTTGGTTCTTTGAACATCCAACTGTCCGACACAAAATTGAAAAAAAATGTCTTCTCCAACATACAAGCACAACATCGCTTCAGAAGGTAAAATACAAAGTTTTTTAGAAGATTTGTGGAGGGAAAGATTGCGTCTCTCAACTCCCTCTTAGAATTTAGCTACTCAAACAAAACCGTTTTTTCCACACAAAAATGAGAAAGCCACGAAACGACTTTGAGGTAGAAAAGAAAAACAAAGATCAATTTTGAATGAAACGTTTTCTCCTTCGACAAACAACAAAGACGAACTGTACAAATTGCTTTGGAACTGAAGCAACTTTAACGAAGATTCGAAGACTGAAGTTTGAGAAGGCGACCAAGAAGTTCTTCATGAACGACAAGACAAAGGACGAGACAAAGAAACGCTTTTTGCCAAAGTCACGGATCTGGCATTTTAAAATAGATAGATTATGGCTTGTGTATGTTGCAAAGCTCGAATGAATGCACATCTAAGAACCAACATGTACAGGACAACCATGCACTGGGCAACTGGAACAACAGCCGCTTTGCCAGTCTATTGCACATAAATCCACTCCACACTGTAACTTAGCCAATAAGAAGTGAGACCATGGCACTGGACAGGTAATATTGCAGTGTGAATCATAAACAGCCTTCACCCAATCGGGGCCCAATTTCCTTTGCTCGCACTGTCTTGGCTGAAGAGTGTTGCTGCATGGAATTGCACTTGTGCCACTTGCGGCTCTCCAGATCATTTTCCGTCTGTAAAGTTGACATGCATTCATCGTTTCCCATGGATGTTGGAATGCCACCACTCGCATCCAGATGTTGTAAAGTTCCAGCAAACCTGATAACAAACACTGGCGCATCTGTGCCTTTTTTGCGAGTATTGACAGCTTCCCAAACAGGAATTCTGCATGAATTCCTCCAGCTTTCTCCCTCACTTCAAATCAAGCTCTGCATCTGAAAACTTTGAAACTTCCGAACGCCTGCACTTCGAAATTGGCCGTCCAAAAGCTTCGCTCCTTGGAAAAGAACTTAAGACCTAAAAAAGTAAATCTGATGTTGGTCTGTTCGTGCACAAACGCGGGGCATGCTCCATCATTGTTCGGCGAAGGGGGACTTGAGCAGGGGGGGCTTCTCGAAGGGGGCTTGAGAAGC